TGCATCAGTAAGCATGATACAATATGAGTTGACAAAGCGAAATAATGAAAAGAGCAATAATAATGTCTGTGTATATACAAACATACCCTATGAAAAATAAACAATCGCAAACAAAAACATTATTCCTGAGTGATGAGCGCTTCTTGCTCAGCCGAAAGCAGTAATCAATTCTCGAATAGTGCTCAAAAAATTTGTGAATATGAATGGACGAACGAATACTGCGAGAACGAAACAGAGGAATGCATTTCAACCTAATTTCAAACTTCACAATAGCTGTATTTTTGAGTGCCATAAACATGAACTTCGACTTTGGCATTTATGCATATCAATCGAAAGAAATTCCTTAAAATATCGCCGCGAAAACAGGTTTTAGGTTAGAAATATTATAGAACAAAACCATTTGCGACGCAACATGAATCACGAATCACCCAAAGGACCTCGTAGGCCACATCAAAGTGATCACTGCTTATCAAACAAAAACGCCAGATCCACACAGGATCAATGTGGCATATCCGAGCGTTTCTCGAATATTCGCAGGAAATTGCCTCGTGAGAGCTGTCGTGCTGAAATTTTCAAACACGAATACACATTTAGCGTCAGCAATTGGCTGAGTTAATTACTAATCTTTGAGAATTCAAGATCGCTATCGATACGGCGCACAGAAATTAAACACGGCGTATTTCTCATCGGTTCAAAAATCATCAATCGCAACTCGCCACGATAAAAACCGAAATTTCAACAACAAAATAATCAACACTGAATTTGTCGAAATACGAATGAAACAAAAACATTCGCTCGTTCTAAACGCAATCTAAATGTCTGTTCACGACTAAATAACAACAGAAGCAACTTCAATGAAGCAATTCATATGCACTTACCTTCTTCCATACCAAGCGTATAAACGTTATTTTGTAGAGTTCTCACGTAGTCCATCAACTGATCTGGACTCAACTGCCCCAATTCTGAATGCAATGAACATCGAACAATGTTACGATAAGATCACAAACCAAAAACATAAAACATCCTTCTTCCCTTTGCTTACTCGAATCACCAAATCACTCAGTATTACTATCGACGAAATCACATTGCTTTTAATGTTTACTCATTCATTTTTGATCACTTCTATTTTGCAAAGTAACTAAATGTCCACTTAAAAGATTCTATAGATGGTTGATTTCTTTCAAAATACGAGCGAGAACGTCTTTCACGCAGCCTACGATTCATCTACAATTAATGGGGGCATTCAACAAAACAATCAGCCATCAATTGGAACTCATTTTTAGAAGTTTATTCATTAGAGTGACAAATAATAGCTCGCACCATTGACGAATCGCACATCACTTGGGCCCAAATCCGTACGAAATTTTGTCGGTTTTGTTCCAGGAGCGGAGCACTGCAAACTCGACTATACTTTACGATCACCAAAAAACAACAACGCAATCACTTCTTCCCTCTCTTCAGAACCCATTAAAATACGATAGATAGTAAAAAAAGCATACATTCTTCCACATATCCCAAGCGCCTGGCAATTGTTCAGGCCAAAGTTCGGGTGAACTACGTCCAATTTGCTCTGAACATGCCAAGAAATTCTCACGAGTCACACTTGATCCCTCACTCATATGTAAATGTTCGTTCCGAGAGCTTATCCAAAGAAATCCTTAAAAACTGAAGCACTCAGCTAAACAATTTACTTAAGCAAATAATCTTCGACTAAGACCAAAAATATCAAAATTGTCACTGTTCATTGCAAGAAATCGCTTGGTAAAGGGTTGATAATGAGC